TGTGAGTAACAGTTTATATGTTTGGTGCAAAGGGCGGGTGTCATTTGATCTTAATTGTGGTGGTGCTTCTGGTGGCTTTTCCGTAAGGAATTTAGACTTTATTAGCTTTGGCAAGGGAATCCTGAGTGATAAAATGGAAGAATGTTTCAGGAAATTCTGGAACCTGCAGTGAATCTGGAATCTATGAAATTGAGATTTGGATTCTCATAATTTCCTAATGCTACCCCGAAACCCAGTAGTTGAGACAGTCGTAGAGCTTCAGTTGTGCTGCCCCAGTTCCCCATTTTAAAAGGAACACGTTGCTTTCATCTAGAATGTTCTGAGCTCTGAGTGCTGCCGGCGGAGTGACCAGCTCTCTGCATCAGAGGGGAAGCCAGGGCTGCGCCCACGACGTCACAACAGCTGGGAGGTGACCCTGGACCTCAGGCACATGTGCTGCTGACCATTTTCTGTCAACTCCAAGGGTGCTGCAGTGGTGTCCTTGGTGCTTTACAGTCTTCTGAAGCTTTTGATGTGTCTGCACTTTATAGATTTTTCCAAAGTAGACGGCCTTTTCCCACACCCTTGTGCTGAGTTTTGTCAGAGGCTGGTGTGTGGGAAGCACCACACCCACATTCTGACAGGGAAGACTCTGGTGCCCAACTGAGGTCACAGTGGAAATTTGTTTTTCCTTCCCTCCAGTCTGGTCCAGCTGCTCCCTGCTTGGCCAGAAGAAAATCATGCTTATCCAAGTCGTAGGCAAACCCCTAAATCAAACATTTGTCTTTTTTCTTTAATATACCCGTTTAGTTTATATGGAATGATAGAGAAATGTCTTTTTAGGGGAAAATTAATTTCTTTAATTACAGAGGCCTTTTTGTATTAAAAACTGCAATCAAGAGGCTATTTTGTAATATCTAGTTAAATACTACAGTTGAAAGCTCCTTATATTTGATCTTAAACTTGGGCTCGGTGTGTGTGTCAGCACGCTCGTGCTCATGAGGCCAGGTTCAGCTGTGAACTACAGGCACGGTACATACTTTCTGGTTGCTTTTTTGAAAGTCTTACTGCTTGGCCTCTCCGACTCAAATGTTGTTACATTGATTCTGTTCAGAATGATCATCCTTCTATGTTGTTACATTGATTCTGTTCAGAATGATCATCCTCTGTCCAGGTCCAGTCGCCTTCCTCATCTTTGTCTCCCTACATTATTTAATAGTCACATATTTTATAGGTTACAGGTGACTGATCTGTTCATTAGGAAAACACGCGATTTTTACATCATTATAATGAACTTGTTAAATGATTGTTAGTATAATGGAGCTTACATGGCTAAAGAGGCTTGCAGATGTGACTGTAACGGACAGTGAGATGGGGGAGGACTCTGGGCTGTCCAGGTGGGGTCTGTGTCCTCAAGCATGTGCCTTGATAAGAGGGAGATGAGGTCTGCCTCAGAGGAGGCTGAGGTGGGGTGGGGGCAGGGGCTGGAGGGCATGGGGCCAAGGGTGGGGCAGGGCCAGAGGGGTGCAGGGCCAGACCGACAGTGGTCGGAGGGGTGGGCTGTGAGCCAAGCTGCATGTTGGCCTCTATGAATTGGGAGACTCCAGGCAGGAATGACAACCTACTGACTCCTGGCTTCAGCCCCGACTCCTGACTTCCAGGGCTGAGAGGAGGTTTGCATTTGTGGTACCTCTGTTGCAGCAGCAATAGGAAGTTAATGCATTGTATCCGTCCTTCACCTCAAACCTTGAAAGTAACCCTGTCGTATCAGCCTCCTCCTCCTCCTCCTCCATACTCCTGCTCCTCCTCCTCCATGCTCCTGCTCCTCCTCCTCCACGCTCCTGCTCCTCCTCCACGCTCCTGCTCCTCCTCCACGCTCCTCCTCCTCCACGTTCCTCCTCCTCCACGTTCCTCCTCCTCCACGCTCCTCCCCTCCTCCACGCTCCTCCTGTTCCACGCTCCTCCTCCTCCCTCCTTCACGCTCCTCCTCCTCCACGCTTCTCCTCCTCCACGCTCCTGCTCCTCCTCCAAGCTCCTGCTCCTCCTCCACGCTCCTCCTGCTGCTCCTCCACGCTCCTCCTGCTGCTCCTCCACGCTCCTCCTGCTCCGCCTCCACGCTCCTGCTGCTCCTCCGCCTCCCAGCCTCCTGCTCCTCCTCCGCCTCCAGCGCCCTGCTCCTCCTCCGCCTCCCACGCTCCTGCTCCTCCTCCGCCTCCGCGCCTCCTGGTCCTCCCCGCCTCTAATTCTCCCCACAGCTCCTCCGCCTCCACCTCCTGCCCTCCGCCTCCTCCACCCACCTCCTGCTCCTCCGCCTCCTCCATGTTCTGCTAATGCATTGTGTCTGTTCTTCACCTCCAAACCTTTGAAAAGTAACCCTGTTGTATCGTCCTCCGCGCTCCTCCGCGCTCCTGCTCCTCCGCGCTCCTGCTCCTCCGCCTCCTCCACGCTCCTGCTCCTCCGCCTCCTCCTCCATGTTCCTGCTCCTCCTCCATGTTCCTGCTCCTCCTCCTCCCTTTCCCTGCACAGCCCTTCCTTTTCCCACTTCCTCCCTATTTCCTGGACAGCTTTCTTTCTCTCTTTCTCCTTCCCTGTCCTTGGGCAACCTCCTTGAAACTCTGGTTGAAAGTCACTGGTCTGTGGGGCCACCCATTTGACAGATGAGCACGCTGAGGCCCAGGCCAAGTGACTGACTCAGACCCACGCGGAGGCTGACCCAGGGCGGATGCCATCTCCTGCCGCCCGTACCACTGGGTTGTCCCTAATGGAAGAGAATCAATGATGCTGCTTCACTGATCTCCAGGGAAAGCAGGTCGATAACAGGTTATAAACATGGGAACGTTTTTGGAAAATCTGTCGTCCACTTGTCAGATTTCCATCTCTCCTGCCTGGAAGATGTAGAGAACCTGCCTTCAGCCCACCCTCATCCCGTAACAGGACAGAGGACAAAGGCAGAGACCCAAGTCCTGTCGGTGCCCTCAGGAAACCCCCCGTTTCCTCCTCATGGTGGAAGTGGAAACCATCCCACTGGATGATCTTCCCCGGGAGACCCTCCACCCTGAAAGCAAGGAATCTGGTTTGAGCACACACACATTCTTGGTGCCATCACTTTCTGCAGCTGAACGCTACGTACGTGGCCCATTAGTCTTGCTAGTCCGGTGTTACTGGGTCCTGGGAGTTTCTGTGGGTTGATGGCAACTGTTTACCATTGTGTTTAGAGAGGAAAATAGAACTTCACTGTGTCGAAATCAGATGATAACCATTGCCATGTGATTCCTTGGGTTGGTTGGGGCGGGGGATGCTCAAGCTTTTTCAGAGGGCAAAGTTCTTGTTTGAGACAGTCTCACTTTGTCGCCCAGGCTGGAGTGCAGTGGTGCGATCTTGGCTCACTGCAACCTCCGCCTCCTGGGTTCAAGCAGTTCTCCCTGCCTCAGCCTCCCGTGTAGCTGGGATTATAGGTGTGTGCCACCACACTTGGCTAATTACAAAAACTTTTCATACCGGCAAGGTTTTGCCGTATTGACCAGGCTGGTCTTGAACTCCTTACCTCAAGAGATTGGCCCACCTTGGCCTCCTAAAATGCTGGGATTACAGGCTTGAGCCACTGTGCCCGGCCCGATCCTGACATCTTTTAAAGCTGCCTTCATGTACCAAAAGCCAGTCTATGTTTGAAAATCAGGCTTGAAGAGCCTAAGAGGAGAGGGATATACTTCAGCTAGGTAAATAAGTATGCATATGTTAAAAATGTGGGCCAAAATCTACCCCAAATGTTAACTCTTCTGCTTGGCTTTTTATATCCATTTATGGTTATTCTTTCAGTATTAAGATTTTTAAAGATTCTTTTGATAATTGTGGACAAATTACTATTAAAACTCGGCTGCATTTGTAACACTTTAAAGAAGTAATTGGATGACTTTGTTTTTCTCGGAGGCATTTTGAATAGTTACATAATTAATGTTTATCTCTTTGCCAGAAATCTTTTTTTTTTTTCCCAGAACAGAAACCTGAAAAGAAACATTCCTTTGCATTAAGTGCTATTTCACTGTGTGACAATCAAGTTTTGAATGTGAGAACAGGATCATCGTGTATTTTTGGGATAATTCTTGCTTAATAGTGATAATGCTAAGTGTTAAAATTATGGAACCATTTGTTTCTTTGAAAATTACTATTTGCCTGCTCATCAGGTGGGAGCTGATGAGAACGTGGTTGTAAAAATTACATTGTATTTAGCTTGTATAAAAGAAGTTTTAAAAAGCTGTTTTGTTTTGTGCTACTACTGAAGTTGCTTAGCTGTGGAAATGAGGTTATTGCAGGCACCTAGAATTTGATCTCCTTCACTTCCACGATGGGAAGAAATTCTCCAAGAAGCACAGGAATCTGACTTTCTGATATTGAGACTCCTAGGCATCAAGCCCCATGAAAGGGGTGATGATTACGTGAGCGTTGGCGTTGCTGTGGGCATCCTCCAAGCCGGACGCAGGGAGCAGGGAAGGGCAGGAAGAACAGGCCCCTCAGGAGCCCTGAGAAAATCAAGTGTTGGCAGCAGTGGTGAGGGTTGGTGTCAGGGGCCAGGAAGAGGTGGTGAAGGGGGGAGCATGTGCCTCAAGGCAGCCCTGGAACCCGCAGTCCCTGCAGTGAGGTCTGGTCTGCAGGGGACGTGGACGGGCCACACAGCGAGGCCCACAGACAGCCTGGACTCGGCTGCCTCAGGACTCTGGTGGACGTTGCAAATGGCCCCACAGGGCACATTCCTCGGACAGAAAGAAGACGCTTGGAACTGTTCCTGGCACGAAGCCAGCGCCCTGTGAACAGTGGCCGCTGCTGTTGTGACTGAGTGCCATCCAACTGGGGACATTTGCTCTGCTCAGTTCACACAATTGGGCCAGGAATGGGGTTGCCCTGCCTCCAACAAGCTTGACGCATTGAACAAGGGGTTCAGTCGATAATGTACTCTGTAAATAGCTCCCCCAGCTAGAGTGAGCAAAGCCCAGGGAGCGGGTGGTTCTTCATTGTTAGCCAGGTGTTTGTGGCGGGGCCGGCTGTGTGGCTGCCAGAGCGAATGTGACCAGGAAGCTTCTGTCCCCCCGAGGTGGCCAGCGTTCCTGTTACACATGCCGTAGGCAGAAGGTGGGCACTGCTGGGGAACTTGCTCATGTTCCTGTTTTCTGATTGGAAATTCAAGGTTTCTGAGCATCCTATATCGAATTTGTACATTGCTGAGACTGTACACATTTCAACGCTTGTTTTTTTCTGCTTTTCAGATCTATACAACCTGGCATTTGGCCGTGGCTTCCAGGACAGGCTGGATGCAGAGTGAAGTCCTCTCCTCACTGTCAATGTTTGCAGATGTCTTCTTGTATAAACTCCGTATTTCTTGAGACTTTCAATTAGGTTTTTACTTAACTAGACTTTTAAAATTGCCGTGCACATAACTACCAGTTACAATCGTGAGCTAATAAGGGTTTTTGGTTTTTGGTTTTACTTTGATGAGTGTTTAACTTTTGCATGCTGGATGTGGGGGTGGAGGTCATTTATCTGCTTTTCATTTCCTTCTTGGTTATACTTAGTGACTTTCAGGTAAGCTGTGGAAGGTGTGGTACAGGGTGAATTGCAGGCCGCACTGTGGCGCCGTGAAGGACAGGCGGGGGCAGCAGTGGTGTGCACAGTGGATGAGAGACAAGAGGAGACTTCTATCCTCGAGGGAAACACACAACAATTTAAAAAACTGATGATCTAACTTACATGAGGTCCAACAAATACAGTTTGCAAAGCTGAACTTCCAAGTTAATTTAGTAATTTTTCCCCTAAGTCATTAATTTAGTAGCTTATGTGTAAATATATTTCTCTTGTCTAAAGCAAGTCATAAATTCTAAAATGAATGACTAAACATGTAATAATTTAGGCATACAGCACCTGAAGGGAAAACTGCCAGTATGCTAAAATATTGGATACAGATGCTTTTAAAAAATATAATGTAGCATTCTTACAATGCATGAGTTTTTAGCATGTAACTTGGTGAGTAGTTTTGAACTATATTTGTGGGAATGTGTATCTTGAATACTTGAGGCCACCACTGCAGATGTGTGCGTGAGATGTATAAATACTGAATGTTCTTCTCCCTTTCCTTAAATGAAAAACATTAGCTCCCTTTTATTTTTATTTTTAATTTTTTTGAAGTGGACTCTTGCTCTTGTTGCCCAGGCTGGAGTGCCATGGCACAGTCTCGGCCCACTGCAACTTCTGCTTCTGAGGTTGAAGTGATTCTCCTGTCTCAGCCTCCTGAGTAGCTGGGACTACAGGCACCCGCCACCACGCCCAGCTAATTTTTGTATTTTTATTAGAGATGGAGTTTTGCCATATTGGCCAGGCTGGTCTCAAACTCCTGACTTCAGGTGATCTGCCCACCCCGACCTCCCAAAGTGCTGGGATTACAGACATGAGCCACTGTGCTCGGCCAGCTCCCTTCTGTAATGATTTATATAGTTTTTGCTTTTTATTTTTTTGAGACGGGGTCTCACTGTGTCACCCAAGCTGGAGTGTAGTGACCCAAATCTTGGCTGACTGCAGCCTTCATCTCCTGGGCTCAGGTGATCCTCCCACCTCAGCCTCCTGAGTAGCTGAAAATAGACACATGTCACCACGCCCAGCTAATTGTTTTTTTTTTTTTTTTTTTGTATTTTTAGTAGAGGCAGGGTTTTGCCATGTTTTCCAGGCTGGTCTCGAGCTCCTGGGCTCAAACGATCTGCCCGCCTCAGCCTGCCAAACTGCTGGGATTGCAGGTGTGAGCACCACATCTGGCCCATTTTTTTTTTCTTCCAGGATTAGAAGTCGACTTTCAGAAAATCCTTCAACCTTGCAAACTTAATTTTCCATAATAATATGCCTCTAGGATAAAAACAAGACTGAAACAGAGAAGTATGTGTGGACTGCAGTTAAAAATTTTCAACACAACCTAGCTTAGGAGAGTTGACATTTACAAAGAGCAGGAGGCCCCTTCAGTGCCTTCTAGGCATTGGGAATGGCGGTCTGTGGGCGACCTTAACGTGTGCGGCGTCCTGAGACGTGATCGTGATGCTCACGCTTTTCCTGAGGGCCTCCCGGGAGTACCAGAGGCTCTTCTGCAGTTGGCCAGCCAGGCAGCAGCTGCTGGAGAACGAACAAACAGTAAAAGACAGATGTACACGGTGTTATTGTGGCAGAGAAGTTAAAACCAGGCTCACTCTGTTCTTACAGTTTTAAAAAACTAATAATGAAGTCCTTGAATATGTATTGCATTTCAGGATTTTAAAGCAGTTGTGGGTGTGTCTGTGTCTCTCTCTAGCCTCCCGTTCGGGTGCTCCCTGTGAAGAGAGCTCAGAGACGCCACCTTTCCTTGTTGAGGTGACAGGGCCTGGAGAGGTGTGAACCCCGTGGTGGGGGTGGTGACTGACCTGGGGTGGGGAGGCTGGGTCAGCGGTGGGGATCCACCCACACTCCACGTTTCTGTAGGGAATCCACAGTTCTAAGTCTTTATAATATGGGTAAAATGAACCTGGAAGAGGTGTTATTTTTTAAGAAGTAAGTGCCATGCTCTTTTTCCCTCATACTTCTCCGTGTATAAGCAGCATTGAAGGATAAGGCACTACTAGCATGTTGGCTTGGAAAACAGTCTTGAAGGTTATTTTACCTTGAACCTGATATTAAGGTTGCCTGGTAACAGAAGTTTTCCTTTAACAACATGGAACTCTGTTGAATCTGTTACCCCATTGGCTGAGCAGTCTGAAGTCAGTGCCCTGGCAGCTGAAGAGGCCTTGGAGGAAGCCGCTGGATGGGCAGGAGGCACACCCCTTGATTGAGGGAGAGATGCGCAGTTTGCAGGGACCCCACGTGGCACTGGCGGCTCTCTTCTGCCCCCTGCTGGTTGGCCAAACGGCCTCGCCACAGTGTGCTCAGTGTGAATGTTCACAGGGCAGGCCAAGGCTTTTGTTCCAGAAACACTGACTTCAGAAACGGCTGGCCGTGTGTGTTGAGCATGGCAAGAAAGACTTACGTGTGTCTTAAACCTCTTGAACAAAGCAAGTTGATGTTTCAAATGCATCTCGAAGGCTGACTTTGCTATGGTCAATATTCAGGAGAAAATGGGGTTTGATGAAATAGAAAGACAGGAGTGGCAAGTGAGTTGCTTGTGCCCCGTATGACTAAGCGATGTCCTGGCCGTTCCACACCACGGCCTCTGAGTAGCCAGCGTGTAGATACTGGGTCAATTTAGATGGGACTCCTAGAGCTGTCAGCCGCCCTGGAGAAGCACGAGGAGTTCTGTGTGCCCATGGTCATGGTTCCCGCTACTGTGTCCAGCAATGTGCCGGGTTCCGATTTCAGCATCGGGGGGACACAGACCTGAACACTATCACTGAGGTAAGTCCCTGCGCGCCCAGCCAGGCGGGCGCCCGCTGACGCTAACCCGAGGGCCCTGGCCCTTATTATCTACCAGTGCGCTAGAAACAGCCTTTTACAAATACCCTGAATGAGAGCTCTTGTTCTTTTTTCCCTCCTAGAAAAGGTTTTTAGACTCTGAACATTTTTGATCTCACTTCTAAAAAAGTTTGACCACCTCTTCTGTGTGGCCACCGGTGGGGACGTAGTATGGCCAAGACCTCGTGAGTAGCTGCAGCACTGAGGATGGCTGGGCCGCAGTCTCCTGTGATTGCACCAGCATTAAAATCCCCCCCCCTTTTTTTTTTTAAATGCTCAGCCTAAACTTTCTTTGAACCTCCAATACGCATTATGATGAACCCTTGCCTTGGTGCTGAGGGTAGAAATTGAACTGAATATTTTATAATTGTAGTCATTGTCCTGAACGCACCATTGCATTTGTTATCTGTTTGGTCTTGGCTATTGACCTCATTTTCCCCTTTGTAAACTGGGGATGTTAAATTGCATCTAAGGCAATATTGGGGCTGGTTTAGTTTTTTTGTCCAGAGACAATAATAAAACATAGAAGTATATTCTTCTGTGTTTTGTTTTCTTTGTGAGACAAGGTCTTACTCTGTCACCCAGGCTTGAGTGCAGTGGTGTGATCTCGGCTCACTGCAGCCTCGACCTCCTGGGCTCAGGTGATCCTCCCACCTCAGCCTCCCAAGTACCTGGGACCACAGGCACGTGCCACCATTCCCGGCTAAAAGAAATACGCGCCTATCCCCATGTTTGTGTGTCACACTTGGTGATTCACGTGGGAATCTGAACCGTACCTAATGCAGGAAGCATTTCATTTTTTTAAAACTCGATGTCTAAAATTTTTCAGAAATTCTCAAGTTTTAATTTTTCTTGTGTGACTTGGTCTCACGAATATTTTTCAAAGTTTTGTTTTGTTTTTCGTAAATCCTTGGCATGAAACTTATTTCTAGCACTGGTAAATAAAGATTTTAACATACAGCTTATATGGTAAGTAACGCTTAGCACTCGTTTCTTGCTTTTCTGAGCGTCTTAAACTTTCTTCACTTTCTTTGTGAAGGAAACCTGCCCAGGTTTTCCCATGTTCACTGGCTTTGGGGGCAACTTTCACCTTACTTTTGGCAGTCACTAGTCTCTGACCTAGACGTTGCTTCTGTAATCCTGGTGACGGGTGTCACGGTTTTGCTGCTGTGGGTCCAGCCCGGCTCTGGGCTGCCCTTCATGCTGGGAACGTGAACATGAGTGTCTGTTTCACAGAGGGGATTCCAGCATGGCTTTCACTGCTCTTTCACCGGCTTTAGCTGGATTTTTGGGTCTGTGAAAGTTGGGTGTGCAATGGGAGGGATTGAAGCTGCGTTTTTAATCGTTACCTAATTGGAACTTGCCCAGAGGGAACAGGTGGAGAATTTGAGAGCAGTCACTGCAGTTAGCTGAGCATCTGAAGATGTGGGAAAAAGCTGGTGTTGATCTCCCTGTGACTTTTTTTATTTTCAAGTTTCCACACAATGCATAGATCCTTGGGGTATGTGATGTACACTTTCAGGCATGAAGAAAATCTTTAATTCCAGGGTCCTCCGCTATAAATAACTTTTTTTTTTCAGATTGTAAATATGTAACAAATGTGTAGGGTCAAAATTTGAAAACCAAAATACTTGAGCCAAACACCCCAGAGATGATCAGTTCCACCCGCTTTGACTTCCCTTGGAGGGGACTGTGTGATTTATTATGCGATTGTTTTAAATTCAGTTTTTCATTCGAGTTTCTCAAAGGTAGGTTAAACAATTTCGGTTTTTTTTTTTTTTTTTGAGACAGGGCCTCACTGTTTCCCAGGCTGGAGTGCAGTGGTGCAATCACAATTCACTGCAGCCTCGATCTCCCAGGCTTAGGCGATCCTCCCACCTCAGCCTCCTGAGTAGCTGGGTCTATAGGTTCATGCCACCGTGCATGGCTAATT